CGCACCCTCTAGCATAAAAAGCATACACCTTAAATACCGGACCACAACGACAACTTAGTTATTTCTTAAAAATAAGCTATAAAGCGTATCAAAATTAATTACATCGTAAAGTCTTGATGACAGTATCTTATTAATTGTACAGGACTTGTCACCTCGCCAATAAAAGCAATGAATGAGACAATTAATTTATCACAATTGAGAGCATCCCAGACCTAACTAATATTGAATTGTGAAACTGATTGAAAAAGAGTACCTAACCATGGAGTTTCTTGCTAGTTCTTCTCCACTGGAATTAACACTTTAGAACGAACAAATTGCTTCACTAAAGGACAGACCGACAATTAACACTTTTTAACTTATTTTATTTAATATTTTTGTATGACGTTCAACAGTAGTACAGTAATTTATCTTTCATGGACTAATTGAAATAAATGATTTGACTTTGATTTTGACTTTGACTGAACCTTTAGACAACATTTTATTCCTCTACTTCCATCGCCAAATCATCAATGAGACTAAGTTGGAAATAGCATGAAAGCTAAAGTACATAATCATATTTCCAAAGACGCTTTTGAGTTTTGCTTCACATAAGCTTGAGGTGAAAATCAAAGGTACCTAGAATCACATTTACCTCGCGACCTAGGTCAACATAATCTTGTTAAGGCAGGGCTAACAGAGTTTCGAGGTATGAAGGCACTTCCAATATTGAATTCCAGTAATACTTGATTACTTCCACCACGTATATGAGATTAGTTATTGGAATTTCTATTCTAGGTCACCGGTGTAAGGTCGTTTTATGTTTATTTTGATGCTTTATTTTTGTCATTTATTTTTCTATTTTATTATTAAAAATGGTGTTCACTTTAATTTGTGTTTAAAATTAATCATATTTAGATCTATATTTATTTGTAGCCGAAAGAAAATGTGAAATAAGAATATTATAAATACGGAGAGAAACGAATTTCATTTCACGAGATAAAGTAATAAGGATTAATTTCAAAAGTATGTTTATGTCAAAATGGAAATGGCAGAGAATCCAATTAGTTTTCCGCTCTTTGGTAATATGTACTTTATGTCTCATACATATATTGTGACCTTTGTCATTTTAATTTCTTATGAATTCACATCTGAACATAATTGTAATAATTCACATTTCATTCTTTATCACTAAGTTCTTTATACGTATATAAGAGGACGGTGTATTATGTATAATAATATCTTTTTAACAAGTTAAGAAGTTTAGTATGAGCATTGTATCGTTATTATACATATACTAATATAATAAAGAGGTAAAATTTGTATGTTTGTAAGTTTATATATTGGGGGTAATCTTCGGAACCGCTGGTTGCATTGCCAAAATTCTTTCACTGATAGATAGCTACATACAATGGTTCTGAGTGCTATAGGCTATAAAACATCACGCTACGATTAAATAATAAAATACAATTAAATATAAATGGAGCCGAGCAGCCGGTGAAACCGCGATAAAGTAGTTAGTAATCAATATTTTATTAATAATAACGCTAAGAAACAAGCGACAAAACAGACATACATAACAATGTATACTTCCTAATACAATAAAAGTTGTTTTAAACATTCAAAACAGTTATTACATTCATAACTACACACTAAAAATCATGTACCCATGTAGGTACATGTATCAAGCCCCGATTTGAAAAGAAGGCCCATAAATTTAGTCCACTAACACCAACCCTATAAGTTTCGAGTGCCAAAAAACGCGATTAAGGTCTCGTTTCACACCTTGACGACGTCGTAAACCCCATGGGATGTCCCATGAATGTTAATTTAACCCTATATAGATGGGTCTATAAGACCCCTGGCCAAAAATTGATTTATATGCGTCTGTGGCGCGGTGGCCATAAAAAGTAATTTAATGCTCAACATACAATAATGATCCTGGTCCCGTACCTTGTAAACATGTCGTAAAATTTTTGAGTGCCTTCTTTCTTTTTGTATTTCGTTTTATAGTCTACGTTAAGCAATGATAACTAGTTTTTAAATGCACTATTTCTGTCCTTAATGTAGTTTCGAATTGTGTTTAGTGCAATGTAAACCTCAATGATTGTATTACGTTTTATTTCGGTTGTCTTACATTTGAAATTCGTTTATGTCATTGTGAAATTCTATTTCCTACTAATATTATAAATGTGAAATTTTGTGAGAATGTATGGATGTATATTTGTTATTCTTTTTCTCAGAACTGCTGGACCGATTTGGTTGATAGGTTTGGATTAACATATCACGTAGGCTGCTTTTTATCAACATACCATGCGGGCGAAGCTGCGGCGCCAACTAGTACGACATACACGACGACATTTTTCTCAATGAAATCGTAAAGTGTAACTGAGACCAATACTTTAATACTGAAACTACAAGTTTTATTCACTACACAATAAGAAACAATTATAAGAGAATCCAAATCATACCTACATTGCTTGAACCCAGGATCGCTCGACAGACGCGGCCTAGATTACAACACTACTATTCACAGTGTTTTTTTAGAAAGACGTTGTATGACACAATGACAATAAAAAACCTATTTTCTGCTCTGTGCCATAAGTCTCTTGAGCGTGGCTGAAGATCAATGGTTGGCGACGTCCAGCCACATTTGTCACAGTTTGCCCGTGAAATTAGATGGCCCAGAATATAAGCGGTAGCGATAAAACGCGGCTTTTTTATTGATGAAAAATCTGATACGTTTAATATATCTTAGTCGACGCATATTATTTTTTTATCACACAGGACTTTTTGAAATAATCAAATTTGTTTTTAAAGCTAATGACACATTTGTTGATCTCCTCTGGAGTGGTGTGGTCATGGACAGCGTGGATCACTACCTATCATCAAGAGGTCTATGTACTGGTTTCTACATAGACCTTTACATGGTACCTTTACCTTTCTTTAAAAAAAACGAAATTCTTAGGAATTTGATTCGGTAATTTCTAACTAATCAAAGTAAATTCAATACTCTTACTGAAATGTCAAAACGAACTTTTCTTTGAATTTTATTTAAAACCGCAACACATGTTTTTATTACGCAACGCAATTATTTATGAAAAAAAAAATTTAAAATTATTAATACAGTGAAATCAATGCAATGTAAGTAATTAATCTTAAAATTCATCGTATTGAAAAGAGGAAATAATTTATTTTAGACCTAGTAAATTTAAATTACCTAATTGCCATAAATTAACTATTTATTCCAAACGAATGATGTGTAAATCGCTAGTACTTAAGACTTACACCATATTCCGTGACAGATCAGAAATCTACCTATCTAAAAGACTATCGTAACATTTTAAGTTTTAGACCGTAAGATTAGAACATTCTTCTCCGAGTTTAGCCGCAGTACTACGCTGTAGAATTATTGTGCAGGTTCCCACACAATTTTCTTCTATGTATAGTGCCAATGCAAGGACTACACTTCAAGAAACAACAAAATGCCAATTGTCTTTTGTAATGCAAAATATAAGACTACCAAGGTTTACTTAGTTGTTAATGGTTGCAAGCATAATATTTTATAAAAGAGCCATGCTTCGACACAAATAGGTCGGCTCGACCGGAGTTATACCACGGCCTCACAGAAAACCGGCGTGAATCAACCTCGGCTCTGTGTTTCACCTTGTGACTGAGGTTACTGGAGACCCAATTTCCCCAATCTCTTAGCCACCAAAACCCTAATCCCTAAAAGGTCGGCGACATAGTCGTAGCTGCACAGTGGTTGCGGATGTCCATAAACGGTGCTGATTACTTACCATCAGGTCCGTTTGCCGACCAAAAAAATTTTTTTACGCTGCTATTTGGCACACAAAATATACAACTATGCCTTACATATATAATATAATTGGGTAACACTTAACACCAGAAATAGAAACGTCGTGAATAAATTGTTATCTCAATCGTAACAACGCTAATATAGGATACAAATATTATATTATGTAAGTTTGTATTATATATAATGTATTTTTCGCACTTTAGTTCATGATTAGAGCTTTACGTAAGACCTAGGCACTCCAGAGAATAAAATGAAAAGACAATGTGACAAATGTTTTTATATATTTTATCGCTGTAAAAATTATTTCATAATGTTTTCTGTGGATTCGTTTCATGATGAAGTGGGATTTCATTTAGATCGTTAATTCAGACTGTCATTCAATTAACATATCGTTTTCTTAAATAGATTCTCAAAAGCAGCAAATTATTACTATTATATACAAATATATAAGTATATCCCTCACAGAAAACGTGGCGTATCTACTTAGCAATAAGTATTATGTAAATTAAAACCAATCTTCTATCCCGAAAATTATCTATAAAGTTACTTTTAAAAGCATCCTTTCAATTTTCATTACACCCACACAACTCTTTGAAAATAAAGGCTAAATGTTACGTATGGCTCCAAATGAGTTAATAAGCAAATGGATTTGCGAATATATATATAACATTATGCATTAATTACAATAATTTATTAACTGTTAATTATAAATAACAAGTTTATAGTTACGTTTGGCTACGGTTGATCGGCGCGGCGACAGAACTAGTTTCATTCCTCGGTTTTATCTAACGTTCTGTCAATATCCAGGAAGTAATAGGATACCGGTGAAAGTTACTGCATTACATGAATATTTTATGCATTTATTTTGTCGTATATTGATAGTTATTTAATGTCTTAGCAAAATTTCGTTAATTTATTTTATTTTGTATCTTGCTTCCTATTTCCTTGTGTTCGTTTAATGTCATGCCAGATTTAAGTTTAATAATGACGATAAAGACATTTTGTAGGGTTGTGTAATAGTAATTTGATGTCGAAAAACATTGTTGATAATAAAATGATTTTGGGATCAGCGCCATCTATGTATCGTTGTCGAAAGTAAAGGCATTTTTAAGAGATAACTAATTTTAAAATATGTTTTTCGCTATATTATTAATGTCATTATTGTGTGTCATTACTATATTAAATTGTCATTTTCTTTTCGCAGATTCATTCGTGAATAGTCAAGAATGGACAGCGTCACGAGGTGTAACAGAACTTCGAGTTGGAGTTTTGGGTTCACCAGACAGTGGAAAATCAGCTCTAGTCCATCGGTATTTGACTGGAGCGTACATGCAAGAAGAAAGTCCTGAAGGTCCGTGTCAACTCGATTTAATATAAATTAATATAGTATTTCCTGTTTCTGAGCTAACACTAAATTCGTTCAAACGTTCGATACAGCACCATCTAGCGTCAAATAGCTGAACTGCGTTCATTCACATTCAGAAAATTCGTGCAATACGTAGTTACTGTTAGTTCTCATAGATGGCAGCAGTAGTAGAGAAATGTTAATGTTGCCTTATTATGCCACTAGATGGCAGTATATACCCCAACATTTCTATTTGGAAAGTTCAACGCACTACTGAGGGCGTTATTGCACTGATTACACTCTCTTCGAGGGTTTGATTGGTGCGTAGGACTAAAAGTGCTATTTATTTACCTCCAACCCACACTGTAGACCTGATCATTAACGCCGAGACAGCGATAATAGCGAGAAATTTACTAAATCCCTTTCCAGATTGGTATATCTTATTTCCTAGTTGTCCTATTAATTTTCATGAGGACGTTGACAATGAAATATCTTCACGTGGGTTGCTAAATACTGACATGAAAATGTGCAAATCCATGTGAGATTAACTGGTATAATACTTTATTGATGATTGTTCAAAATATGTTATTGATTACTATGTACCTTAACACTACATCTATCTGCTTCTTATCTTCTACTATCGCACTTTCTGCTACAAAATATCATGAAATAGACTACATTGATCAACTTTTTTTGTTATTTGGTGGCGAACTAGCAGGGGCGCCACCCGATGGTAAGTGGTCACTGCTGCCGGCGTAAGATATTGAGTAGAGGTACAACGTCTAATAGGTTTATAGGAATTTTTTCATTGTAACGAAATAATATCATACTATACCTACATAATGCATGCCATATACACACATTGTATTTACATAATACAGGACGGTTAGAACTTGAAAATAGAATTAAAGCAGTGTAGATTAAAAATGTTGCGGAACTTTCCGAATTTTGTTTAAATTTGAATAAAAAATTGACTGAACAATTCGAGAATTCGAAATTTGAATTTTGTATTATAAAACGAAATCAGTAAATTAGGACCACGGGCAATTAGAACATTCGCGAACTTACACGGTCTAAATGTGTTTAATATTTTGTGTATTAAATTTTATTGTGTAATCGCAGGTGGTCGCTTCAAGAAGGAAGTGATAATCGACGGCCATAGCTATCTTCTCCTTATAAGGGATGAAGGAGGCTCGCCTGAAATGCAGGTTAGTGGACATTTTTATACATTATAATTATTTAATCTCTGTCTTGTATTAAATCGACTGATGATTCGATGATGGACCTTTGTACAACAATCCTTAATTTTATGCGAAGAACTGAGTTAACTTTTATGAAAGGAATATATCTTTCGGTATTCGTAGATGGAAGGTTAATATTTATGTAAAAAATTCATAATATCAGATGAATCAAATAAATAAATAAGAGACTTAAGATATTTACAAACACAGTTTTCGTAAATACACTCAGAAGTTGCTGGTAATTTCTCTAGGGGACGCAGATAAGATCAATTCTCCAACATTACGTACCTACGTAACCTATCCTCCCACATGAACGTAAAACAAAACTCAATCTGTCTTACACTAACAACAAAACCTTCAAACATAAAACACAAGTACGACAAACATTTCTATTATTTCAATTAATTCCATTTCAACAAAGTTTCGATGAAAATCAATAAAACAAATTAAATATTCAAAAGACAATGATCGCGTGTGCTCCTGGCCTGTAGATAAAGGTACCTATCTACTACTATGTACGTACAGAGGACACTACTGAGCTTTTCAACATGTATTTCAAAACAGCTTGTGACCTACTCCTGTATTGTGGGGCGTGTCCATTGATTCACGTCATAATGTGCAATTGAATTTGTTTTGTGTGGTAAAGTTGTAAAGACAAAGAAGTGAAATAATGTTGTACTTATTGTTTAATAATATGCGGTCTATAGGTTATTTTTTTCTTTGCCTTGTTAGGAGTTACACGAACTGTCAGTTAGTGTACACTAACAACCGCTAGGTATACCAAAATCTACAAGCTAGATACGGATTGGGCTAGTTATGGATTTGAATATTCCTGTATTAAAACATTTTATGCTTTTCATTACTCAAATACAATACATATACTTACAGAAAAATAACAGTCTTGACTTACCTTTATCAATTTGCTACTAAGAGATCGTTGTATTCATATTATTTTCCGTTTTATAAAATAACAAGATACCTACATACCTACTGACAAAAAATATAAAATAAATAATAAGTTTCCACAAAAAACATCACCAATAAATAACGTGTCGCGTGAACTTAAAATAACGCATCTCTGTGGCATCTCCATTCTCGTACCGCACGCAACAATGAGCACTAACGGCCTTCGCCTCCAGGATGCTACTATCGATTTGCGCTATAAACCGAGGGTACTGTTTAATAGACGTTAAATTTTATTTACTACATACACATCTACAGTGCGTTCCTATTTACAATACATAACAAAAGCGTGTACTTTTACGATGTTGTCATATTGAAGTTACAAGCCGCTTAGCGGGTTTACGATATTGTGGGTAAAAACATTTGGCTTTTTGTATATGTCACTTTTACTTACTCTTCAAAGGTTGATGGGAAATACATTCGATACCAAAAATAGATGCTGGAATGCATAGGAATAAAAAAGGTTAAACGAAAACTTTATCAAATTACTTTAACTTACTTAGAAGTAGTAGTACTAGAGAAGTAATTTAGTAAAGTTTTTTTTTTAGAGGGAGTGTCAGACTCTTACTGACTTAATCCATCCGTTCCTTTTGTTACTTCTGACCGGGGCACATGTACTTACTTACGTTATATTTGTACCAGTTAACAATTTCCAAAAAGTAATAAGTAGTCAAATAGGTGTCCACTCAAACTTGTGTTATAATTATCATATTTTTAAGGTTCAAATATTTACAAAGAGATACCTAATCCGCTGTAAAAGTCTAATTCTTATGAAAACCAACAGAAAGACCAAAAGAAATCAACATAAGCGCATACAGTATAGAATATTTATGAGAATAACTAAACAAAATTTTATTTATTTTAAGTGTGGGAGAGCCATGGTTCGGCACGAATGGCGGTCGGCTCCACCGTAGTGATACCACGGCCTCACAGAAAACCGGCGTGAAACAACCACAGCGTTGTGTTTCGCAGTGTGAGTGAGGTTACCGAAGGCCCAATCCTTCCCCTCCCCCAATCCCTCTTCAATCTCTAAATCTCCAAATCCCTAATCCCTAAACGGTCGGCAACGCACTCGTAACTCCTCTGTTGCGGGTGTTCATGGGCGGCGCTGATTGCTTACCATCAGGTAATCCGTCTGCTCGTTTGCCTACCTATAACATAAATAAAAAAAAACCAAATATTTTTATCCCATCTTACCTTCATCCTTCAATCACTACCAAAACGTAGCCTTAGTAACAAAACCTAGTCCCTTATTCACAGAACAAAATCTAATCATATCAGGCAATCAAAACAAGTCAGTCTGTTCAAGCAGTTTGTTCGATTATCGTATTAATTGACTGGCGACTGGGGTGCTAACGACAGACGCTATCCCTGTGTTATTGATTTATGATTATCTAGTCACTGTTTCAGCTATAGATCAACTAGGTATGTAGGTATCTCAATATGATGATTGAAGAGATCCCTTTTCAAAAAGGTAGGTAAGTGGAAGGATTCATTTTTTTATTATGTAGGCTCTCCCACGCTTCATGTTTGAGAGCCATGCTTCGGCACAAATGGGTCGGCTCGACCGGAGTGATACCAAGGCCTCACAGAAAACCGTCGTGAAACAATCACAGCGTTGTGTTTCGCCCTCAGATACTGGAGGCAAAATCCTTCTCCTCCCCCAATCCCTAAATTTCCAAATCTCTAATCCCTAAAAAGGTTGGCAAAGCACGATAGTGTTACGATAATCTGCAAACAGGTCATGAATAAGCAGGAAGACGAACAAAGACTTCCAAAGAGTTTTACAATTAGTTGTCAATCAGTCACCACCAAGAAACCTCTGATTAACTAATTAGTTCTACTTCACTGCTCACAGACCTTAACCCTCTCCTGTCAACAGCTTATTAAACACACCTTAAATCAACCAAGTTAAAGGCCTTCAAATCCTAAGACAACCCTAGTTCACTTTAGATTTACGAGCACGCACTGACGCGTTATCTAACCCTTCCGTTGCCAGTGACGTCATCGCATTAGGTCGGATTGACCCACAACCCGATTGTCCCGATATAAAGTCATCTAAATATAGTCGCAAGCGTCCCTTGTGTTGTCACCATTTGTTTTAAGACCTTCGGAAGTTCGGACGTAAAAACATACATTGGACTATCTTTTAGAACCTTTTCTAGCAACCTTTTTGAAATAGGTACTGTATCTTTGAAAAAAAACGATGAAGCTTTATTTTTTTGTCTATTAAGCGTAAGCATTTTTATTTCAGTTTTTAGTTAGTAAAAACTTTTTTACTTGCAGTTTTCTACGCAAAATACCTATCTAGCTCTATATCATATCATTTCAATTTTCATCACCAAGGAAAGTGTTACAAATTGCGCGCAAAATGTGCCAATTTTACAATAATGATGCAGGATGCTACCATGCTGGTCTGTATTGCGAAATTCCCTCTCTATCCCCGGCCAGATTACATGGTCGCCCTTCTTCGGCACGCGCCATATATCGGCTTCTCGCCACAGCAATTTGATACAAATTGGTCTAGTACATGAACGTGGAACAAATAAAAACAAAAATAAAAAATCGCCCGATGAAACTCCCGTAGCAACGAAATCGAATCATCGACCAGTTTTACTGAAACACGGACGTGTAAATTGAAGGGTTTTCAGGTAGTTACTGGCTGAGAGCTTTTTTCGAACTGGTCGTCCGATAAAACAGTGGATAAATCTGACTAGTGACTAGTTCAGTGATGCAACCATAACCATGTCTTTTTTACATGTTTGTGCCGTAGATATGAGCTAAATCTACATAAGAACTACCATCATCGATTTTATACTCCACCATCCTAATATAAAAAACAATAAGTATCCTATAAAAGCTGTGGGTGCAAGCATAGGAATGTATCGCGGCCCCAACACGAAGCGGGACAAAGACAGGATTTTTAGTCAGTAAGAGTCTGGCACTTACATTTTCATCCCTTAAAAAAACTGATAAAACATTAATTTATAAGTTATTTAAGAAGCGGTTTCGCATATTATACCTATATCAGTTCATTTAATTTCAAAGATTAACTACTTTTTCGTTTCTTAACTTATTAAAAATGTTACAATACACATAAAATCACGTGAACCACGTTCTTTCAATCACCAATATAGTAGTTGACTATAAAAAAATGTATCTACAATTCTCCTCACAAATTCTTCTAAAACTTTCAAATGAATCCAAAACACATTCCACAACAGCTAACATAGCGTTGCCCAGAATGCCCACTATGCCCAGTTCATAATGCGCTCCACACTAAGCGCATCCGTGCCCATTCCACTTCTTTCTAATAGTTTGAAATTGCAGTCGCATTGTTCGGTTCTCGGTTGCCCCATTTCTACTCGGAAGCGACCTTTCAGAAGAGTTCCGCAAAGAGTTTTAATTGCTTCATTTGGGACGATGATATCTCCTTGTTTACGTGGGGGAGGATTCAGCTCTGTTTTCAAGCTTAAACAATCTTGAGAAGGTAACTGTTACCTATTGGTAGGTAAAAGTTCTTTGCTATTGTAGTTGAAGTATGAAAGAAATTTTAACTCTTATGCATATTTTATGTAGGTACTTTATTCTCTAATTGTAAAGAGACTTACGCCCTTTTTGAATCGAACCTGGAGATTAATCAAATTAGGTACCTAGTTACCTTGTTAAAAGCAAATACCTACTTCAAACTTCGCAGACTGAGCCTACAAAAGCCCCCAAGGACGGTAGCGAAACCTTTTAAAACTATCTCCAACCAGAACTATAAAGTAAAGTAGGCGAATTTGTACCTTTTGGTTCCTTTGTTGGTACCTGGGCAAAGGGCAAAAATAGCTGCGGGCATTGAGTTATTACACGGCAAAATTAAGAAATACATAAACCCACTGGATTTTACCTGCCGTTGACATTTCCCTAAACTCCCTTGCCTACAGCGCCATCACGACGTACCAACTTAATCTTGTTACCCGCCCAGCTTCCAACAGATTAAACCACACTACCACTTGGAA